CACAGTCCATTCAAGATATTGCATATGCTTTTCATCCGTTTCATGTTTGACAAGTCTACACATTTCATAAACAAATGTCAAAGAAGGGTTAACTTTCATTGAGAAAGTATGCAAATACGTAAAAATCTACTTGTTTTTGCGTAGTTATCCTATGTTTACATTGGTTGTACGGCTCCACGTGCTGTCATCGAAGCCCAACGGAGAGCTAGCGACACGGTCACTTTGATGCATAAATATATATTGTCATGCAACTCACTGTCGCAGTTGTAGTAGCATATCTATATAGTTATGCAAAACAATATGTAAAGCGCCCCCAAATACTTGCATTAGTCCGTTCTATACTGATTTCTGAAAAAGCGCGTTTGTTTACAAACAAGAGAAAAGTCCGGTCACGTGATATGCAAATTAGCCTGTGGCAGTGGTGTTATGCTGAGTCACCACTGCGACGGAGTGTGCTAAAACGGGTCACGAAATGCATGAAATCACGTGAGCACCTTAACTAAAAACATGAAAAGATTTGCAAAATATATGCTGACAACGAGTTGGCGCTGCACATGTTTTGCAAATCCTGCAATCGACCAAAATCTGCAAGACATTTTACGAACCGGATTTCGATTTCGGTGCGCGATTTTGATTGGACTATGCATAGACTCGTTTGTCCAGCCAAAATGTAACTCCATATAATCCCAGCCTAGTTTGGCAAGGGTTGAAACTGGACTTTCATAGTCCGTTAATGCCCTTGCCTCGAGAAGATGGTCTAGGTGTTGTGTTCCCTCAACCGGTTACGTATGGTTCTGCACTAATTGGTGTCAACTCAGGAATTCTCTGAGCTGTTTATTTAGCAGTTTGGTATCGATTCCGGAGATACAGCAACCGAATATGGTTGTCTTATTGGCATTACGTCACACGTTGACGACCAGCCCATGATAAGTCACGAGTGTTGACCTGCTGTGGATAACGTCTTCAAAGAGATGATATCGTGTTCCGATGAACATTAAAATGTCTGGCGACTTCGTTTTGCGCATTTCCTGTTTGCAGCATGCCCACGGCGCGTAGACGTTGCTTTTCAGCAAGCCGTGACATTGCGTAAGCGTTATTTGCGGTTAAAGAAAAGTGGTTTTATAAGCACCGGATAGAGATAAACAATCATTGTGTGCTGGTCACATTCAAAACCTACATGTATGAGTATCATGCTCTCAACAAACACGCAAACATCCAAATTGTGAGCCGTGCATTAACATGCACGTGCAAATTGTGAATCACGACCTTAAAGTCAAGGCGATGTCTTAATGAAAATGTATTGAAAAATGCATTATTTAATTTCAAAATAGTTCGAGTTTCATTTAAGTTTCTGTTTTTTTTCCGTTAGTATACATACTAGTTTATATAGCACCATGGCTCTAGTGTATATAGCATCCCGACTCTGGTGTATATAGCGCCCTGACTGTGGTGTATATAGCACCACGGCTCTGGTGTATATAACACCCTGACTCTGGTGTATGTAAGACCCTGACTCTGGTGTCTATAGCACCCTGACTCTGGTGTATGTAAGACCCTGACTCTGGTGTCTATAGCACCCTGACTCTGGTGTCTATAGCACCCTGACTCTTGTATATATAGCACCCTGACTCTGGTGTATGTAAGACCCTGACTCTGGTGTCAAAACACCCTGACTCTGGTGTATGTAAGACCCTGACTCTGGTGTCTATAGCACCCTGACTCTGGTGTCTATAGCACCTTGACTCTGGTATATATAGCACCCTGAGTCCAGTGTATGTAGCACCCTGACTCAACTGTATATAGCGCCCTGACTCCAGTGTATATAACACCCTGACTCAACTGTATATAGCGCCCTGACTTCAGTGTATATAACACCCTGACTCAACTGTATATAGCGCCCTGACTCTAGCGTATAAAGCACAGCGACTGTAGTGTATCTAGCACCATGGCTCCTCTGCTTATAGCGCCCTGACTCTAGGACATATAGCGCTCTTACGCTTTTGTATATAGCGTACTTGTATAGCTATTGTATATATTACGTATTGTATAAAGCATATTGGAGCCATTGAGTAAAGCACACCGACTCTTGTGTAAAAAGCGCGTTATCTCTATTGTATGTAACATACTTGCTCCTGTGTCTGTAACATATTGGCTATATTGTACACAGCGTATTGGCTCTAGTGTATATAGCATATTGGCTCTAGAATAAATAGCTTATTTCTATTTAACTTGCGTGCGCAGGGTATTACCGTAGGTGTATCAGGGACGGAAGGAATACTGTAATAATCACAATCGATGCATTTTCATAACTTGTAGATAGAAGGCAACATACCACACATGTGCAGACACGAGACAAAATGCCTTTCCTTTTAATTTGTTGCAGTACTCCCTCTGCATCGGGCATGTTGTATAATGATGCTATCAAACTACTTGCGTTGCACCAACATGAGGCTCATTCATTGATTGCAATATAAAACAAACCCCACCAAGGTCACGATGGAACCAGAAACAAATCACCAGCGAGTTTTATCTCGGGACTTTATTTTTCTGATCAGTAATCTAGACGATTTTAACCCCCTATCAACGAGAGCCCACATCACCGACGGGTGTCCCTAACTACGCTGTGAGTTGTAGTCTAATATCAGGGGAATCATGAATCAATGAGTCTCGCCGTGATCAATTCTCTCCCTGACGTGATTAAATGTACATGAAGTCAACCAACACTGTGTTGGCGCAACCATGTGGTTCATCCTATGTACAGAAGATGTGTCGATACAACCATGTTGTTCGTCCTCTGTACAGATGGTGTGTCGATACAACCATGTGGTTCATCCTATGTACAGAAGGCGTGTCGATACAACCATGTGGTTCATCCTCTGTACAGAAGATGTGTCGATACAACCATGTGGTTCATCCTCTGTACAGAAGATGTGTCGATACAGTCATGTGGTTCATCATCTGTACAGAAGGTGTGTCGATACAACCATGTGGTTCATCCTTGTACAGAAGGCGTGTCGATACAACCATGTGGTTCGTCCTCTGTACAGAATGTGTGTCGATACAACCATGTGGTTCAACCTCTGCACAGAAGGTGTGTCGATACAACCATGTGGTTCATCCTCTGTACAGATGGTGTGTCGATACAACCATGTGGTTCAACCTCTGTACAGAAGGTGTGTCGATACAACGATGTGGTTCATCCTCTGTACAGAAGGTGTGTCGATACAATCATGTGGTTCGTCCTCTGTACAGAAGGTGTGTCGATACAACCATGTGGTTCGTCCTCTGTACAGAAGGTGTGTCGATACAACCATGTGGTTCATCCTCTGTACAGAAGGTGTGTCGATACAACCATGTGGTTCGTCCTCTGTACAGAAGGTGTGTCGATACAACCATGTGGTTCATCCTATGTACGGAAGGTGTGTCGATACAACCATGTGGTTCGTCCTCTGTACAGAAGGTGTGTCGATACAACCATGTGGTTCAACCTCTGTACAGAAGGTGTGTCGATACAACCATGTGGTTCATCCTCTGTACAGATGGTGTGTCGATACAACCATGTGTTTCAACCTCTGTACAGAAGGTGTGTCGATACAACCATGTGGTTCAACCTCTGTACAGAAGATGTGTCGATACAGTCATGTGGTTCATCATCTGTACAGAAGGTGTGTCGATACAACCATGTGGTTCATCCTTGTACAGAAGGCGTGTCGATACAACCATGTGGTTCGTCCTCTGTACAGAATGTGTGTCGATACAACCATGTGGTTCAACCTCTGTACAGAAGGTGTGTCGATACAACCATGTGGTTCATCCTCTGTACAGATGGTGTGTCGATACAACCATGTGGTTCATCCTATGTACAGAAGGTGTGTCGATACAACCATGTGGTTCATCCTCTGTACAGAAGGTGTGTCGATACAACCATGTGGTTCATCCTCTGTACAGAAGGTGTGTCGGTACAACCATGTGGTTCATCCTCTGTACAGAAGGTGTGTCGATACAACCATGTGGTTCATCTTCTGTACAGATGGTGTGTCGATACAACCATGTGGTTCATCCTCTGTACAGATGGTGTGTCGATACAACCATGTGGTTCATCCGCTGTACAGAAGGTGTGTCGGTACAACCATGTGGTTCATCCTCTGTACAGAAGGTGTGTCGATACAACCATGTGGTTCATCCTCTGTACAGATGGTGTGTCGATACAACCATGTGGTTCATCCTCTGTACAGAAGGTGTGTCGATACAACCATGTGGTTCATCCTCTGTACAGATGGTGTGTCGATACAGTCACGTGACTGTCTTCATCTTCTGTGGCCATCTTGGCTTTCGTTTTAGCTGACAATATTCTCTACGGGGTGTTTCCGTTTTCTACCAACATTATTTGTCGTAAATGCAGCCTTTTCTTTAAAAGAATTATCGTCCTTTCCTTGTTTGCTCATTCAACATTTGGACATCCTTCTTCGTGGGGTCATTATCACAGAGACCGGGATGCAGTGTGTCATTAACGCTGTTCACGACACATGCTGCGTGCAAGATTCTGTCTGGCCGGAAGCGAGGACATGATAAAATATGAGGAGGATGTCCACGTAACACTCAGTGCTCCACACTGCCCGACACTGCTATAATTCATATGAGATATCTTATAGTGGCAGCATGCAGGTACGGACAGAATTAAACAAAATACGTCATTTGAAGTAGTGTCGTTCAGGACTGAGATGAACTTCAGATCATTTGAAACTCAAAGCCTTGGAACATGTCATGCTGTTGTGGACCTGGTTCGGGTGTCGTCTGGGCTTGGTGGAAGGGGTTTAGTACATTGTGGACTTGGTTTGGGCGTCGGCTGGGCTTGGTGGAAGGGGTTTAGTACATTGTGGACTTGGTTTGGGCGTCGGCTGGGCTTGGTGGAAGGGGCTTCAGTGGACTGGGGACCTGGTTCGGGCGTCGGCTGGGCTTGGTGGAAGGGGCTTCAGTGGACTGTGGACTGGGTTTTGGTGTCAGCTTAGCTTGGTGGAAGGGGCTACAGTGGACTGTGGACTTGGTTTGGACGTCGGCTGGGCTTGGTGGAAGGGGCTGCAGTGGACTGTGGACTGGGTTTGGGCGTCGGCTGGGCTTGGTGGAAGGGGCTTCAGTGGACTGGGGACCTGGTTCGGGCGTCGGCTGGGCTTGGTGGAAGGGGCTTCAGTGGACTGTGGACTGGGTTTTGGTGTCAGCTTAGCTTGGTGGAAGGGGCTACAGTGGACTGTGGACTTGGTTTGGGCGTCGGCTGGGCTTGGTGGAAGGGGCTTCAGTGGACTGTGGACTTGGTTTGGTTGTCGGCTGGGCTTGGTGGAAGGGGCTACAGTGGACTGTGGACTGGGTTTGGGCGTCGGCTGGGCTTGGTGGAAGGGGCTTCAGTGGACTGTGGACTTGGTTTGGGTGTCAGCTTAGCTTGGTGGAAGGGGCTTCAGTGGACTGTGGACTTGGTTTGGGTGTCAGCTTAGCTTGGTGGAAGGGGTTTAGTACATTGTGGACTTGGTTTGGTTGTCGGCTGGGCTTGGTGGAAGTGGCTACAGTGGACTGTGGACTTGGTTTGGGTGTCAGCTTAGCTTGGTGGAAGGGGCTACAGTGGACTGTGGACTGGGTTTGGGTGTCAGCTTAGCTTGGTGGAAGGGGCTGCAGTGGACTGTGGACTGTGTTTGGGCGTCGGCTGAGCTTGGTGGAAGGGGCTACAGTGGACTGTGGACTTGGTTTGGGTGTCGGCTGAGCTTGGTGGAAGTTGGTATATTAGACTGTGGACTTGGTTTGGGTGTCGCCTGAGCTTGGTGGAAGTTGGTATAGTAGATTGTGGACGTGAAGCTAGGGGTGATAATGCGGTGGGCGTGGTAGGGAGTTGTGGGATTGTAGGCAGGCATCTAATCTGTCAACATCCTATCCTATCCCCATGTCAGTAGTGTTCACACCCACCCACCTCAAACCCACATGCCTACACAACTCTAAATAAGTCGTCACTTTTCATTTTAACGGATCGACCGACCGGAGCTTAAATCATAACAAATCCTAATAACAATAAAGAAAATAAATGTCTAAAGTTTAATCTGAGAGGACTGTTAAGGTTAACTTTGCAGATAAAACGTATTGCATAGTATCGGGCCGCAGTAGAGAAGTCACCGTACACAAGTTCGTGTATAGTTGGTGCTGTAAAATAATCTAGATTCTAGTCTTTGAAAGACATGTAGAAGTGATACACATAAGGAAGAGAATGTATGGATATCAACAACTTTATTACGAGGAACACGACGTTTCGGAGTATATGCTTACTCCTCCATTCACCTGATGAAGGAGTAAGTATATACTCCGAAACGTTGAGTTCCTCATAATAAAGTTGTTGATATCCATCAATTCTCTTCCTTAATGCAGATTCTGTTCTTTAAACAGATTAGGCATGTGTGGTTTCGTGACTAGACAGACTGACCCACACAACAGCTTGACAAATGGAATAACAAATATTCTTTATTGTTGTTTCGATATATCCAGTCTACTCTGCACGTTAAACACTCGTAAACCACAAACGTCACTTAAGAAGGAGCAGATTTAACGATTGCTGTAGACCAGAAAGCGAAGTCTCCGTCTTGTGGCGCTAATGTAATCTTGACTCATATTGCGTCTTTCTTCTCCCAGCTGTGTGTGTAGCGACCCCTATCATAGCAACAACCACCACAACGAGCGGTGACTAACGTCAGATCAACGAGACCGTGCTTGAAACAATCGCCAACATTGACTGACAGGTGACTGGTGAGCTGTGACCAATCATGGCCATTCAAAATGACGTCATCATTGATACAAACACCTGCTGCAAAGAGCCAGGCAACACGATCAGCTTAAGAAAAGAAACTCCTACCCATGGCAATTGACGTTGAACTAATTTATCATGTGGGTATAATTATTTTCAGGCGTGATACATACAATATGGTTCATCGTGATCATAAAAAAGCAACATTTTAATATAGCAGGAGCAAACGAAAATAAACTGGGCATACCGCCCGCATATCAATCAGCAACCGTGGAGTTCGTGACTGTAATGTTTGCTGTAAAAGAATCGATTGCACTGAAAGTTGTCCTAATGTCCTGCCTTGGAATCAGTATTAGTTTGTAGAAACTGTGGACTAGCAGTGAAAAACTCAGGAAATCAAATTACATTATATTTGTGTGTGTGTGTGTGTGTGTGTGTGTGTGTGGAGGGGGGGAGTTGGGGGAAGGGGGCGGGTCGCGCACGGGTCTAAGGCGCCGCAATTCGCTGTACAGAGTTGCGTCCCTTTGGCACACCAGAAACCAGTGATAGTGGTTTCGAATACCGATTCGCCTAGGTTTCTAGGTTTGTGAACATCATACCTATGCTCGTGGGTTTCACCAAAGTGGTAAACGTCTTTGATAGATCTACATCACTCGCAAATCAAATCAAGGTGATGCGCCGTCATCCGCTAGCATAGCTTCGTCTCGAGCCCGATTTAAAAGGCCCGACGCTAAGAAAATCAAATTACTCTTATCAGAAATTCTGTGCTAACTTAGAGACAGGTGGAAATGGTGACGTGACTTCCAAAACGAGGCCATGGTGGCGAATGGCGCCAGGGCTTTAATCATAATAGAATGGAGATAATATACCCTGTATTGTCGAGGATGTAACCCGGTGAGTGATCGTGTGACCACCGAGCCATGCCTGAAATAGGTCTGGCGAAAGAGTAACGGTCATCAATCCATGCACACAGTAACGACTGGCAGCCATCATGGCAATGCCACCTCTTTATATTAACTCACTCATTAAAGGAGCACAAATTGGCTCTGGCTTCTATACCACGCTGTCTGACAGTGCCCAGCGGCATTACTTCACGACAACTGTTTCCAGACTGGCGCAGTTATCAAGGAGGTCAAGCACACAACAGGAATGTTCTTGGATCAACTTCCTTTAAAAGCAAATCCCCTTAGTCATGTTTGCCGGGCATCTGGTCGCGGCGATCAATGCCCACCTGGCTGCGAACTGTTGAAGACTCCGCCGTATCTACGTTATCCCGCATCCGTAAATGTCATCTGCGTTTTTCCCGCCACCTGCCACTTGCTATGGCGCATTTGGCAGAATATGCATATTGGATGGGATAATTATTGCACTATAGTCGTCTTGTAATTCATAATTGAGTTTTAGCTACAATAGCTATTGATTAGGTTTATAGATTCTGTCAAGTTAATTAGTCTCCATAGTGTCTGTGATCAAGTCCTGAAACTAGTCCAACGTAAAGACGTAATGAACGGCCACCATTACACACCATTTCGGAGTAACTGTTACGGGTTATCGCCAAGGTTTGATCTTCAGTCTATATACATAAATGACACGCATGATTATTCATAAAGTTTAAGGGTCCTGGTGATATTTTGATTTTGACATACAATGAAATCATTTTTGTACATTTGAACAAACCCGTTGGCACATGATTGATTTAACGCTGATTGGAACAGTATCATGGCGAACGTGAGTCAATGCGAGAGAAAAAGATCAAAGTGACGCACGGGCGGCCCGGTCGTCTGAGACGCCGTAATTTGTTGTGCGGAGTTTCCTCCTACACGCTCATCAGAAATATATTATTGTGTTCGAATTCCAGATTCTGTTTCTAGGTTTGTCAGCACCTTGCCCATGCTCGTATGATTTCACCAAAGTTGTGAACGCCTAAAACCTTGATCACTTACATTAAGGTGACACTATGATATCATAACTTACATACTGTTCAACATGTTCAAAGCGAAGGAAACTTACTGACTGACAGATGACAATTATACCCAATCTACACTCTGCATGTTGCCGTAAAACCATGCGAGCAGAACTGTTTATTTGCACACTTGAGACATCAAGTTAATGACGTGTTACGTACATGTTATAGGTTACCCAGACAACTCCCATCCACTTAATTTAATTAAGCCACAACACATTAATTATTCGTTTGAACTGAATAAAACTGCATAGGTGGTCTAAGGATAGAGCGTCTGCGCGGTGGTTCAATCCCCAGCCGTGTCATACCAACAGACGTTAGAAGTGTGAGTGGGTGACTGAGTTGTGTTTAACGCCGCTTTCAACAGTATTCCAGTCATATCACGGCGTGTCAGCCTAATGTGGGAGGAAAGCCCCAAGTGATGCAGGTCTTAGACGTTTGCGGGTATGGGGCTGACAAACATAGAAACATAATCGGGGCGAAACCGGGATTCGAACCCACAACCATAGGTTTCTGGCAAGCCCAAGGGACGCAACTCTGCACAGCGAATCACCAGTGCCCCCAGACGTTAGAAGATGATACTTGCTGTTTCCCTACCTAGCGCAAAGGATAAAGTTGGGCGGTAGGGTAGCCTCGTGGTTAAGCGTTCGCTCGTCACGCCGAAGACCCGGATGCGTTTCCTAACATTGGTACAATGTGTGAAGGCCATTTCTGGTGCTGAAATATTGATAAAAGCGGCGTAAAACCATACTAACTCACTCAATCAATCAGAATAAAGGGGATAAAACAAGGACTGGTCGGCTCATGAACGTAAAAACGCAATAATGCTGAAAGCCAAGCTAAATCCCATTTCACCTCACCTCGGACAGAATAAGCACCTACACTCAGTGGGTGATAGTCTGTCTTACAGACCCTGATACAAATATATATCAAATACAGCCCATGCAAGTCTATAATGTTTGGCAAGTCTAGATCACTGCAGTATCATGAAGAGAGTCACTGGGCTCCTTTTTATTATATTTTTATTAAGATAACTAAACAACTGTTTTTTTTATGTACGATATGTTCATTTCAGAGACTAGATTTTAGTCTAAGTGGGTGACATAACAATGTGTATCGCCATTAGAAACTTCTTTCTGTGGCTCAGCAGGACACGCTAAACTAATTATTGGTTTTCCGTCAGTTTATTAAACTTTAACTATATAAAATGGTGTCATTCAATTGAAGGGGCGGTGGGGTAGCCTGATGGTTAAAGCGGCGCTTGTCGCGCCTAAGGCCCGGGTACAATGTGTGAAGCCTGTTTCTGGTGTCCACCGCCGTGATAATACTCTCACTCAGATGTCAAATATGATCTGTGCATTTTCGGCATCAGCGGGTTCAACAAGTGTAGAAGACGAAGAGCAGCGCCGTTTACATGAGCTGCGTGAGGCTGACCGCCATTACATCGATGTTGCTGGTTTCTGGCCATGGTTGGCCCAGCCACCGACATTCGCTGTACGGAGTTGCGTCCCTTTGGCGTGACATAATCATAGGATTGCGGGTTCGAATTCCAGATTCACCCTAACATGATTTCTGGTTTGTATGCACCATACCCATAGATTTAACGTCATACGCAACAAGTAACAATTACAGTTCTAGGTCATTTCCCATGCATAAAACACGCCACCATGAGAACACAGCACGATCACCCGACATTCAGCGTACACATGCCCAATAATGATGTGATCAGCATCTTTCTCCGTGCGCTCCACGAGATCAGAGGCTGAAACAGGCTGTGTCGTATTTGTATTGAAATTTCCTTCCTTAAGACTGAAGCTCCGATTATTTACAGTGGACGTTAAATATGTACAAGAATCCTATAACGAGCTCTCCGACAACAAAGAGACTATCGTGAACCAAAATCAGATTTTCTTCAGCCCAAAATCAATACACAGCAATTTAAGATTGAGATAACGATCTCCGATAGATGTGTATTTTAATTACAGGATTTCCTTTGCCTTTTTGTAGCCAAAATTGAATAAATAGTTCACATGTTATAGGTTACCCAGACAACTCCCATCCACTTAATTTAATTAAGCCACAACACATTAATTATTCGTTTGAACTGAATAAAACTGCATAGGTGGTCTAAGGATAGAGCGTCTGCGCGGTGGTTCAAT